ATTCCCAACTCTGCAATTTAATAAAAATGTATGAGTAGTAAAAGAAATTTTATTGAATGAATTTTTTTTTACAATTGTATGAGTGTTTTACGTGTGTGTATAAATGTCTATGTTTGTAGTGTACAAATAAATGAATGAGTGAAATGTTTGAACGAGCGAACAAATAGATGGATGAATGAAATTAAGTAGAAAGCAAATGACAAGTCAGTCGAATGTTAAAGAGAAAATGAGGAAAAGAAATATTTTCTTTATGTATTTTTTTCATAATGAATGAAATTTAAATTTTATATACCCAGCAGATCGGCAAAGAGTCAATGCTTTCGTAAATTTCAGTTATTTCCACTAAAGTCTAAACACCTGGTTGGTTCTAATTTGAGAGTACGGATGTACTATTTATAAACGAAATTGTAGACATTTGTCACTTTAGGGTCCATGTAAGCGAGAGTGGAGACTGTCGTCACTATAATCAAGTAACCTATAGGTTAAACTCTTGAACAATGTTCCATTTCTATATATTTATTCCTTTAAAAAATAGGGGGACGATTGACTTCCTGCTAGAATTCCTCCTAATTTGGTGGCTAAGGTAACTCTAATTGGTAGGTTATATAGCAAGTATGGGGGGCAGAAATCTAGTCCAAAGGAGCCTTCTTTAATTGTCTACTCTCCAGATAACTTGGAGACAGTAAAGTAACGAGTTTTCGCTCTCGTTTACAAAGAGTACATTCATGGCGAAATACGATTTACCCCCAACTAGGTGGTAAGACATTAGTGGAAATGACTGTCATTTTCTGATACTTTGACTCCTTATCGAACTGCTGAGTATACTTGGGTTGTTGCAAAAGAAAAACAAATATAAAAAAAATTTAGAATATCATTTTTTAAAACGAAAGGTTGTTTAACAAATAAACAGATTAAACATGGAAACGAAAAACAGTTGCTCTGGGAATTGCTTATGATTATTTTTTTGCAATTCCCAAATTCTATGTAAATGAATATTATATTTGAAACAAAAATTATTATTTATGGATTATTGCAATTAAATAAAATGAAATGTATTACGTTATAAGTAACGTTATGCTATTAAGTGAAACGTTTTGTGAGCAACAATATCTTAACGAAAAAAATAATTTGACTGCTGTTTATTTATTGTCAATTTCGTATTTAATTGGCTGCTCACCTCTTGAATTTTTTGATAAATTATAATTTTGAAAACTTCTTTTATTTACTTATAATTTTGTTATGCACTGTACCAGTGAAACTATTTCATTTTAAACGGTTTTCAATTGTTTAGAATTTTTATTATGTGCCTTTGTTTTTTAATAATCTAACTTTTTCATTACAATTCATAGATAGATGTTCTTAATAAGTCTACAAAACAAACAAATGAATAATTTTATAAATCACAAGGACGGACTATAAAATGCTAAAAAGTACCTACCTTATTAGCATATAATTGCAAAAATACCTACTATTTATATTATATTGCTTTTGAAATGTGTTTTCGCTATCTCTCGCACTAAATGACAATTTAACTTGAGCAAAACTAGAAAGACACTACATACTCTATAAACGGTTTTCAATATAAAATTTATACTGAAAATTTATAATTTTTTAATATTTAAAATTTTTTCAAAATTATTTGTTTTTTACAAAAATTTAGTTCTTTCAATTTGTTTGTATTGCTAAAGCCGTTGCGATATTTATAGGTGTACTACCATAATTATGACTAACCTACATTTTAGTAACACATAAAGGCAACCAAGATTGATGTAAAACTTTTTTGTTTTTATTGAAATTTTTGTTTTATTTAGAACATCTGCATAATATTTGTTTCCGCTCAAAAACACAAAAGAAAAAAATAATGAAAAAAAGGAAATATAAATTTATAAAATTTATGAGCGGCTGTTCTCGTATTTGAGCCCAAAATAAAATTTGTTTTAATTAAGTTAGACAATTGACAATAGTGATTAGAAATATGTAAGTAATCTTTTTTGTCAAAAATGCCCAGCGGAAATTAGCTAAAGGTAAAGGTGTAAAAAATAATTAATGAAAATTTAAACAAGTTTTTTATTAAATTTATGAAGTTTAAAATGTGACGTTTGTAAACTGTTTGATAAGTTAAACTAGATTAAAACTCGAAACTTCGAATAATCTGGGGTATGTGAATTTATGAAACTATTAGACTAGACTATAAACTAGACTAGACTATAGACAATATTATAGACGAGACTGTAGGACTAGACTATAGACTAGACTACAGCACTAGGACTATAGACTAGACTCTAGACTAGACTATAGACTAGAATATAGACTAGACTATAGACTAGACTATAGACTAGACTATAGACTAGACTATAGACTAGACTATAGGACTAGACTATAGACTAGACTATAGACTAGACTATAGACTAGACTATAGACTAGACTATAGAAGCTATAGGATAGCTATAGACTAGACTCTAGACTCAGGACTATAGACTAGACTATAGACTAGGACCTATAGACTAGACATAGACTAGACTTAGACTAGACTATAGACTAGACCCTATAAGACTAGACTATCGACTAGACTATAGACTAGACTATAGACTAGACTATAGACTAGGACTATAGACTAGACTATAGACTAGACTATAGACTAGACTATAGACTAGACTATAGACTAGACTATAGACTAGACTATAGACTAGACTAGACTAGACTATAGACTAGACTATAGACTAGACTATAGACTAGACTATAGACTAGACTATAGACTAGACTATAGACTAGACTATAGACTAGACTATAGACTAGACTATAGACTAGACTATAGACTAGACTATAGACTAGACTATAGACTAGACTATAGACTAGACTATAGACTAGACTATAGACTAGACTATAGACTAGACTATAGACTAGACTATAGACTAGACTATAGACTAGACTATAGACTAGACTATAGACTAGACTATAGACTAGACTATAGACTAGACTATAGACTAGACTATAGACTAGACTATAGACTAGACTATAGACTAGACTATAGACTAGACTATAGACTAGACTATAGACTAGACTATAGACTAGACTATAGACTAGACTATAGACTAGACTATAGACTAGACTATAGACTAGACTATAGACTAGACTATAGACTAGACTATAGACTAGACTATAGACTAGACTATAGACTAGACTATAGACTAGACTATAGACTAGACTATAGACTAGACTATAGACTAGACTATAGACTAGACTATAGACTAGACTATAGACTAGACTATAGACTAGACTATAGACTGGACTATAGACTTGACTATTAAAGAGACATTTTTTTTTAATTCAAAGAATTAATTTATTACTTTTAATAATAATTACTTTTTCGAATAAATTATATTCTTTAAAATACACAATTTTACTTCAACTTACATACGTCAGAACTTAACTTTTTATGCATTTTAATATTTGTTTAAATTTTAAATCGATTTTATACTTTTTGTTCAGAAGAAATGCGAAAATATATATGTTTATGTGTGTAGTTATGTTGACTTTACTTTTTTGATATAAATAGATGTTTATAATGAAAACATAAAAAGAATATTGCCAAACGTGCTTAACAATTTAAAACTTTTGGGTCAATCTGTAGACGTCAATAGCTACAGTCGCTCAGAAAAGTTTACAAATATTTACAAGGATTATTATTGTTTAAATATAATCCGCGAAATATAATCTAATGTGAATACAAATTTATCAATTTGGTCCATATTTTTGGACATATGTATGTATCTCAAACACATTATTATTTTCTAAGACATTATGCAATGAAAGCTAAATTGGAAGGATATCGATAAGTCGTCTTATAGAATATATTATAATTGGTCTTTGAATTTTAAATTTTGTACAAAAACTTTTTGAACTAAGTGTATATTTAATAATTCTTTTCAATCAATTGCGTTTTTGGTTCTGATAAGTGGAAAAAATAAATGAAACATAAATTTAATACAAATTTATAATCCCATAAAAGTTTTTTCTATTTTCTCAAAGTAAGTAAAACAAAACATAAAGGATAAATAAATCCTATTAAGGATTTAATAAAATATTTAATAGAACAATGTTATTAGCAAAATCATTTTTAATAAATGTATAAAATTTTCTAATATTTATTTAAATTTCTTTTGATAACTAAAAAACTGGAATGTAAGAGAAAAAACAAAATGTATTCTTGGTATTTTGTCAAATCCTTGATGTTTTGTATTCCAATTCTCATTCAGTTGATACTATAGAATATTTATAATTTTCGTTTCATTAGCTTTTAATTTTAATGCGAAGTAACTTTCTATTTCTATATGGATTATTTTTTTTTAAATTTAAATATGAGCTAAGAAATTAAAAAAATTATTGTTGACGGCAAATTAATTTAATTGTTTACTTTATTTTATGCATTTATTTGTTAACGTGTAAAATGGCGATTGTGACACATGTAAGAAAAACAAAAAAATCAAAAAATCTCATAACTAATAAATATTTTCAACATAAGAATTGTACATAAATACTTGATTAGACAAACAAAAATAAGATTTTAAATAAACACAATATCAGCCACGAGTAATAGTTATATTTATTAGGGTTAATTTAAAATAATTAATTAAATTTTTAATCAAATATTAGATTTTAATATTTAATATATTTTTTTCTTTGCAGATTTTAAATGAACTAAACAAAAAATATATAATATTTTGTATGCGGAACTGTAACCTTTGTAGAGGTCAACAAATAAACAACCCAACCACCCATTTAAACGACTGTCAATATTAAAAACAATAACAATTTACAATAATAACAATAACACCAACAACATAACATGTGTTTATAAACATTAACGTTTATTTTTTACGCTGTTAAAAATATTAAAGCAAAAACACATAAAAGAAAGTAGAAAAAACCAACAAAAATCAATGCTGTCACAAAATGTAACAACAATAACAATAATAACATTGACAGCTTATTTATTTTAGTATTATTTACCAATATTTTTAACCAAGAAAGAACCTTCTTCACACTGGATGAATCGAATTTAAACAAACAAAAAAATCTAAAAGAAAAACTAAAAACACAAAAAAGAAAAGAATCTTTCAGAAGCCATTTACAATAATAAGTATCAATTAAACAATAACAACAACAAACTAGATATTCCTACGCATCTTAACAACAAACATAGTGTTATTGGTCTCCTTGTGTCTCTGTGTGATGACCTGACATTGTTGACAAAACACTGTCATTGTCATCTTAATCTTAACCCAACAACCACCCAAGCAAAACCATTCAGACTTTGTCAATAACACAAGACGCTAAAAGATTTTCAACTTTTTACTTCTATTATTTTGGTTTGAATGTCTCAAGGGAGTCAGAAAACTTCAGCAGCTAAAGCAACCTTTGTACTAAATTGAACAGAATTCTACAAAAAAAAAAACACCACCATCCAAACAAAATTTTCGAATTGGAGCAAGAACAAGAACAAGAAAGAACATTATGTCAGATTATTCGTCGTTTGAGATGGGGTCGGTCGATAGACCACCAAATCGTTTTCAAGTAAATCCAGTCAACCACAAAAACAACAATGACAAAGCAGCCTCTACAAATGCTGCTGCTGGTGGTGGCGGAGGTGCATCAACAGCAGATGATGTGCCTCATGAAATCTATCGTCGTTTAACGGGAATTGATGGTGAACCCATTGAAGATGATCAATTTAACGAGGATGCTTCACAAATGCTAAAAGCACAACAACAGCATCGAACACAAAGGTGAGTTCTTCTCTTGATGTCCTTATATTATTTGTTTCCACTACCAAGGACTGGCCATTAATGAACGTCAAACATAGTAATTCTGCAAATAGGTTTAGTTGAGTAAAACTACTAGTTTGTAAATGTATAAACATTGCTTTTAGCAACAAAGAAAAAAGTGCTCATCATAATCATGGGGCCAATTAATATTGTTTATGAGAACAAATTAACTCACATTTATTATTGTTAGTTTTTTTTCTAGTTATCATATAAATTGTTAGTTATTTTAAGGTGCAAGGTATGATGATGAAATTTGACAAACATTTGCAATTATGTTCGAAATTGTTTTCAAAGCTGTTAAAATAATCTCCACATCATGAGAATTCTTGAATTTTTAATGGATTCTAGTACAGTGTTGCCAAATTTTGTTCCCCATTTCCCGTCAAGTCATATTACAAAAACCGCTAGAAACCATCAGATTTAGGTTTTTGTAAAAGTCGCAATAGATTTAAAATATATACTAGACTATAGACCAGACTATAGACCAGACTATAGACCAGACTATAGACCAGACTATAGACCAGACTATAGACCAGACTATAGACCAGGCTATAGACCAGACTATAGACCAGACTATAGACCAGACTATAGACCAGACTATAGACCAGACTATAGACCAGACTATAGACCAGACTATAGACCAGACTATAGACCAGACTATAGACCAGACTATAGACCAGACTATAGACTAGACTATAGACTAGACTATAGACTAGACTATAGACTAGACTATAGACTAGACTATAGACCAGACTATAGACTAGACTATAGACTAGACTATAGACTAGACTATAGACTAGACTATAGACTAGACTATAGACTAGACTATAGACTAGACTATAGACTAGACTATAGACTAGACTATAGACTAGACTATAGACTAGACTATAGACTAGACTATAGACTAGACTATAGACTAGACTATAGACTAGACTATAGACTAGACTATAGACTAGACTATAGACTAGACTATAGACTAGACTATAGACTAGACTATAGACTAGACTATAGACTAGACTATAGACTAGACTATAGACTAGACTATAGACTAGACTATAGACTAGACTATAGACTAGACTATAGACTAGACTATAGACTAGACTATAGACTAGACTATAGACTAGACTATAGACTAGACTATAGACTAGACTATAGACTAGACTATAGACTAGACTATAGACTAGACTATAGACTAGACTATAGACTAGACTATAGACTAGACTATAGACTAGACTATAGACTAGACTATAGACTAGACTATAGACTAGACTATAGACTAGACTATAGACTAGACTATAGACTAGACTATAGACTAGACTATAGACTAGACTATAGACTAGACTATAGACTAGACTATAGACTAGACTATAGACTAGACTATAGACTAACTATAGACTAGACTATAGACTAGACTATAGACTAGACTATAGACTAGACTATAGACTAGACTATAGACTAGACTATAGACTAGACTATAGACTAGACTATAGACTAGACTATAGACTAGACTATAGACTAGACTATAGACTAGACTATAGACTAGACTATAGACTAGACTATAGACTAGACTATAGACTAGACTATAGACTAGACTATAGACTAGACTATAGACTAGACTATAGACTAGACTATAGACTAGACTATAGACTAGACTATAGACTAGACTATAGACTAGACTATAGACTAGACTATAGACTAGACTATAGACTAGACTATAGACTAGACTATAGACTAGACTATAGACTAGACTATAGACTAGACTATAGACTAGACTATAGACTAGACTAGACTAGACTATAGACTAGACTATAGACTAGACTATAGACTAGACTAGACTAGACTATAGACTAGACTATAGACTAGACTATAGACTATAGACTAGACTATAGACTAGACTATAGACTAGACTGTAGACTAGACTATAAACTAGAATGTAGACAAGATTAGACTTTAGACTAGATGAAATCTGTTGTCTAAAATAGCGAATTTCATCTCTTTCTCCAAATTATTGTCTAAGTATGCCCCCTATGTTTAATCAACTAAATATGTGTATGTACATACACATATGTATGTATATATAAACCCTTCACACTAAGGTGAATTGTATAACTAAAACGTGTAATTTATTACACATTTAATAAGTTTAAACAAAGTTAAACCTGTCAATTACAGATATAATGCAAATTAATTATATTGGTTTTTAAAAGAGGAGTAAGGAATACTATTTAACTGAAAAGAAAAAAACTCTTTCCTCATAAATTTGGACTTAAGTAAAGAAGTTTCTTTATAAACTTTGTAAAATTGTTTCAGTTTTTAGGCGTAATTAAAGCGTACGTGTATATGTCAGTATATTAATTGAAAATTATTAGATAATTCAAGTTTAAAACTTTTCAAAGTAATTTTTTTGATGTGTTTACTCAAAACCAACGACCAATTAAACTTTTTCCTAAATATGAAAACACGTGTCGTAAGTACATACATAAGTACCAAATATGCTTTAAAGTTTTATTGTGATTTTATGCTTTTATTAATTGTCTAGACATATTTCTTTTACATTGTCATGATTAAAGTAAAAAGTAATATTTTTTAATAGAAAATAAAGAAAATTTAAAGCAAATTTTTTTATATTTATTCCCTAATATTTGGTAATTCTATTTTTCAATTGTTTTAATATTGGAAAAAGAGTGTCATATTGTCGAAATTGATTTGTATCGCTTATTCTTCATGAAGAATTATTTTCAGAATATTTTTTCATGCCAGTTTCGTCATAAATTTAGTTGTTATACAAATTCATATCTATTTATCTATCTGTCCATACGTCATTCTTTAGCCTTTAATTAAACAAAAGCAGACAAGAAAAAAGTATTTGACAGGAATAAAGAACTTTATCAAACATTGTAGTAATCATAATAATTTGCCAGACATACCATCAAATCAAAATAATATATATTTTAAATATTTATAATGAATTATACTAAGTAGCATCGAAAATACACTTGGATATTATCTAGTATGAATTGAACTTAAAAATTTCAGAAATACAGAAGGTATTTGTTTTAGAATTCCTCTATTTTAGTGTTGAAGTAAAAACATACTAAACAATTGACAAAACTTGTGTCTTAATACTAATTAGAATAAATTATAAAAAATGTTAATAAATTTCAATTCACAAACAAAAATATACATACATACATATGTATCAACAAACGGACAAAAGGCATTTGTTTTTAACTTAATTGTAACCATAATTTGAATTTTCTGAAAACCATACCAAATTTCAAATTAAAACATTAATGACGAAACTTTTGGCCACAAAAGACATTTATAAACCAGACTTAATTATAACATTTTTAGTTAAACTTTGTACACATTTGTACATGAAATCTCAATACAATAAATTTTCATTATCTACCACAAAACGGAAGGACTACAATTGCTTAAACTTTGATAAAGTACTAAAGTTTTGTGTAGTGATTACCACTATAGCATAAATGAGGATGATATAACAGTACTTTAAAATCAAATATAATTTGTTTATTTCAAACATACATACACACACACAATTTAAGTTTTTGTTAAACATAACTTGTTATTTAAAACTTCTGACAATAAAAAGTTTAAGAAATAGTGTTGAGGTTGTGAAGAATTGTACATTCCTTATATTTTAGTTATAAAGTTGTAAAGTTATAAAGTTATAAAGTTATAAAGTTATAAAGTTATAAAGTTATAAAGTTATAAAGTTATAAAGTTATAAGTTATAAAGTTATAAAGTTATAAAGTTAAGTTATAAAGTTATAAAGTTATAAAGTTATAAAGTTATAAAGTTATAAAGTTATAAAGTTATAAAGTTATAAAGTTATAAAGTTATAAAGTTATAAAGTTATAAAGTTATAAAGTTATAAAGTTATAAAGTTATAAAGTTATAAAGTTATAAAGTTATAAAGTTATAAAGTTATAAAGTTATAAAGTTATAAAGTTATAAAGTTATAAAGTTATAAAGTTATAAGGTTATAAAGTTATAAAGGTTTACATGTACACACCGACGGACGGGCCTAGCTAAATCGATTCAGAAAGTGATTCTGAGCCGATTAGTATACTTTAAGGTGGTACTTTGGGTGTTACTATCATCAGCCCAAACGCATAATACCCTCCCCACTATAGTGGTATAGGGTATAACAAAATTTAAAAAAAAAATCAAAAGTTATGTACTTTTAAAACAAAATAGTTTTACAAACATCTTCCGCTTATTTTTTGCTCTGTTTGGTTTATTTTATAAATTCAATGTCAATATCTAAAGAGTTGAGATGATATTTGTTTAAAATGTTACTAAGGTTTAAGGAATCATCTACTAGATGTATTCATACATAAGTATGTATGTAATCCTTTGTTTTCACAATAGACATTATGTTAAAAGATTTCCGTATCCCTGATGGAATCTTATTTTAATAAAAAAGATATACACCGAAAATATGAAAAAGTTTAGGTGAACTTTCAAATAATTTAGCTAATTCTGATAGCTTGGTTTTTAATTTCAACTTTTTGTTTGTAGAATCGAAAAACGTCTAAAAGAATGTAATTGCTCTACGATGCAAAATTTTCAGTTTTAAAATAAGAAAACTTTTCTTTGCGTGCATCCCCAGTGTAATAAACATTAAAACTCAAAAAGTACAACAAGAGAAAAAAGGAACAACTTAAATCCTGTTTGTATCCATGACACAATTTTTTTGTGTAACATTTGCCAACCCCTCGTTTAAAAGGCAAATAAAGGTCATTAGAGTATTACAATAAGCTAGGTTCACTTTATTTTCTTAACGCTTTTATCTTTTTTTTTTTTGAATGTACATACATATGTATATGTATGTATGAATCAAATTGATCTGAACATTTTTCTCGTTTTAAATTTTCTTTAAATATTTTGTATTTTGATTGATAATTTAACAGCATGTATTTGATGTGATGGT